ATACGTATGTCGTATATACCTATTATATATTTATTTATAGTTATAGCATTATTGCCATAAAAAATCGAGTGTTTATAAACCTAACTGGTACCACAAACAATCACTTATAATATACCTATATGTGAGAACTGATAGAGAGTCTGAGAACGATATAGAACTAATGAAATTGCAGGAATGTGTTTTGTTTTTTCCAAAAGACAATTTTGAGAAAAGTGAAAAGGTATTTTTTCGAAATAGAGACTATTTTCATTTTTACGGTGTTGGTCGAATACTCGAATCATCCTGTACAGTATATAGCCATATAGGTATAGGCAGCCGCTTATGCAATATTATTTTTACATAAATAACGATTGGAAACATGAACAGACAAAAACTGCATCCCGTCAGTTGACACTGAATATTTGTCAATAAAGAAATCAAACATTGTATTTACATAGGTTGTAGATAGGTGCCCACCTGTTTACGAACGATGCATAATAATATGATGATGGTTGTCATCAAACAGTAAATATTATAACGTGGAACAATATAGTAGGTATAACTATAACATAGATCTGGTGACTGTTATTCACTAATAACACCATAGGCACTCGAACGTGGTACTAGAACAGGCTTATATTATGAGGGGCCTCGGCCTTTGGGTTAGAAATTGATTTTTTTCGCTTAGGTCTAATAGTTAGGCACCTATCTGCAACTATATATTTAGGCAATAGGCGGTGCATACAGCTGAAGTAGTTGCACTTGTAGTTGCCTCGCAAAACATCCGAAATTGATTCCCGATTCCCATCCTCGTCTTAAAAATAAAAAGTTAACATACATCACTAGTTGCCTCCGTTGATCGGGTAGTTCATAATCACGGTGTAGTCATTAATTAACATTTTGCTCCGAAAAGTGTGTCGTAATTTGACGGCATAGTCCGCCAGGAGCGTCAAGAAGGCCGATTTTCATAATAATATTGCGCACTTGTGTAACCGTGTGCCTTTTGTGAGCCTTCCGTTATAATTTAATTTGAAAAAAAATATATTATTCAATATAGATACCTAATAATATTTAACCCTCGTATTCACGTAGTTAGACATAATACTAAATTATTTCACTTTCTTCCAGAACACTGAAAGTAAATGATAAAACTTTTAAAAATTATACGTTGTTGTTGCGGACTCGTCATTTCTGAATTGTGCTGTGACCCAAGGCCGTACCTGAGGGGGGGGGGACGTCTTAGATTAGATTCCCTACTGGCTACAATTAGTTATAAATTATAACTTATATTATACACAATGTAATTGGCTTTATACACGATTAAAGATACCTGCCTATATCTTTAAAAAAATATATCTTCAATAGTGGTTTTATAATTGCAATACGCGCCTATATAGTATATTATGTTATTAACTATAGAATTCTGAACTAACAAGTAACAACTAAAACATAATTTTGGGTAGATAACAAGGAATCGTTCAAGTTTAAATTAAGTATATTATAATAATATAAAACATTATTTTAGTTATAATATTTTTAATATTTAAAATTCCGAGTGGAGGCAATGAATTAACTGATTTCACAATATGTGTTTTTTTTGTGTTTCTGTGTACATAAAAAGAAGTCAAAAAAATGTTTTGAATTTCAACTTAGGTGTTAGTTTTTGACAAAAAATTGTATCTAATTGATAGGTACTTACTTTTTTAGGTTATAATTGAAAATGCCTAGTAGTTTTTGAATGCGTTAGGGGGAAAAAATAAGGAAAAAGTGGAAAATTTACGCAAAACCAGTTGTTGACAAAATCTTGTTCTTTTTCATATTAACTCATAACCGAATAACCGTAGATACTTTATGTTAATAGTACGACCATTTTCCATTTTCAATATTTTTTAGATTTTTTTTCTGTAAACATTGATAAAAAAATTAATTGCTAAGTTTAATAGGTACATGGTTCCTCTTAAGTCTTTATAATAGCTGTTTAGAAATGTAAAATACTCAAAGTCATGATTTTTTATTGGAAGCATTTGAACTTTGATGTTCAAAATTTTGGCAATTCATCAAAACTACAACAACTATAATACTTATACATTATAATGTGTCTCCGTCTTGGCCCAAAATTATTTTCGTATAGGTACGATGATTCAGGGTTGGGCCGAGGGCCTGGCAAGGCGTGCGCCAGTCAGGGACACAAGAATGGGGGCACAAAATTTGATATAATTAAATTTTAATTTGAAAATCTAATGAAAATATTTCAATATATTAATATCTGTAATAATTTAGATCTGTGTTATAAATGGATGTAATTAAACCTCAAATATTTACTATTGATTATTGAAATTAATTTTCATTCACGACGATGAAACTGATATCGTTAAGTAATATATTTTATTTATAATAAAGTATATACTTTTACCCATCTACAAGTCGCAGGAAATAAAAATGTATTTCCTGTGGCCAATAATGATAAAAATGGAAGTGCATACCAGAAATGGTTTACTCCGTCTTAAGCTCCGTCAAATGTAAAGTGCACTGTTTTTAAGTTTTCGACACAATATAATAAATCCACATGAATTCACAATTAAACTTAAAAAAAAGTGTATTAGTGGATGTCACTCTGACTCTGCTATACATTAGGTGTCTAAGAGGCACTGTAATGGATGGTATTAAATTTGAAATAAATGATATAAAATCATTGTATACGAAAAACGATTCTGAGCGGAGACGGTACGTCAGTTTAGGATATTTCATATTGTTATTAATTATTCTTAACAGTTTATATGGTAGCCAGTAAGTCGAGTTAATATTATTCTTAAATTATCAGTGATGCTGAAATAATATTAAATATACCTATGTAAAATTGGGCTGTTTTGGAACTGAAATACAACAAAATGATAAACGTTATTGTTTGTGTTAATAAACAATTTTGTCCAAATTTGAACTTAAAATGTCTGTAAAAAATAACTGTATTCATATATTTTTTTAGATTTTCTAGTTACGGAAAAAACTACTTAAGCGGAACCTTGTTTTCAATTTTCCATCCTTAGCTATAACAATTGAACATTTCATACATTTTTTACAACAAAATCATTTTCAATTTTGATAAATATTGTCAAAATTTGAACTTTAAATGCTTATAAAAAAAAATCACGGAAATGTATTTTAAATATTTTTCAACTACCATTGTAACAATTTATCAAGAGTCTTGTATTCAATTGTCATGCTTTTGGACAAGACCAATACTATTTTATTGACATTATAGAAAAAAATTTAAATTGAAAATGTCCGTCAACAGCATAAAATGAGTCAAAATATTTTAAAAATTGTATCAAATATATGAATTGATGAAATAAAAATTCGGTGTAAATTTCAAGACAGTGTCTACAGTTATTTGTTTTTGAATTATAACAAAATAAGAACATTGCTATAAAAGGAATCGAGTGAATATCCAATGTTGTAGAAATTTAAACTTCAAACGCTTAAAGAAAATTTAATATGCCTACAAATAGTTCAACACAAATCAAAGTATTTTGAATTTTATGATGTATAGAAAATACTAACACAAATATTCAGTAATACATTTCATGTATCTACCATCATTTTTTTTAGAGTTACCTACACTAAAAACCAAAATCAATTTTTTATAAAAACGGCTTTTGCAAAAAAAATTCCCGTTTTTCTTAATTTTTTGTTTGTTTTTCCTGTTGCTTTTGAAAACTATTGGGAATTTTAAACTTTGACCTCCCAAACGCATCAACTAGATTCCCTTTCCCACCAGAAAAGTTGTTGTTGAAGAAAATCGAAGCACTTTTACCACAGATACTTGTGAGAGAAGTTTTAGCAAATTAAAGCTTATAAAAAATTATCTCCATTTCACCTTCTATCAAATTTAGCTATACTTTCAAAAAAGCCAGAAAAGTTCAATTCGTTTAATAAACGTTTAATGTGTGTTAAAATAATGATTTGAATATTAATAAGTAATAAATAATAATAACAGTAACAAAATAATTTAAAGACCAACAAGTACCAACCCCAAGATTATTAAATAATTATCATTTTATTAATAGAATTATAAATCGCATTATTTTGTATCAAAATTAACCAAACCACAATTAATAATATATTAGGTATTTATTTTATAGCATCAATGATATAGTTAATTTTTAGAAAATATTTCTCAACGACTCGACCAAATTACATCCCACAATTAAAATTCAAGACAAAATATGTAAAATATTTAGGCTTATTGACTGTAGTATATAGTATAGACTATAGCTATATTAAGTAATACAGACAAATGAAAATTGGTTTGTTTGACGTGCAAAAACTACAGGTTTGAAATTTCCGTCATTCCATTCTTTTTTTTTTTTTATTGGATATTATGGCTACTACAAATATAACGTTTAGCCGAATAAATTTTAGGGTTAACTTGTAACGATCCACAAATATACAGGTGCACGGCTAGCGAATTCATTTTTTTTGAAAAGTACATATTTTATCAGAATTACTTGTATAGGTTAAATTATGTGTACACACATTTCAATGTTTACACTGAATAAATGTTGCTAAGCAAATATCGTAAGGCATCAATGAAAATTCCCCCAAATAATTAATAAAAAAGTTTTCAGGAATAGGTAAAAATAATATTCAGTCATTTGTTTTTTATATCACACAATTTTATTGAAATTATGAGTAAAAAGTATATCAAGTATTATGATCTGTGATTAGTGATTAAGTTCTAAAACAGTCTTAAATATCAAAATTAATTGAAGATTATAACCTTAAATATAACGCCTCTATGCCCAGTACCTAAAAAGTTTGCTATCAATAAAATATTTGATCAAATGGATTTCAGGATGTTTTAAAAATTTATCTCAAGGTATCAATGTAGAAATTTGCAAATAGAATAAGTGATTAAAAATTGTTTTAACACACATAAATTGATTGAATAAACAATATTTTAGTTTTAAAGGAATTTTTTTTTTTTTTGATTTTGTTAAATATTATTCAAATACAAAAATATGTAAAGTATATGTACAATACATTTGGTGCAAAGATAGAACACAACTAATTGAAAAAAATAATGGTAAAAATAACTTGCAAATAATATTATCATATTGAGAAATTTTAATATTTACTATTATACAGCTCTAACTAAAAAAAAAAAAGTAAAATACAATTCATAAGATATTTAAAATCTTAAATCAAAAATATTATAGTAGATAGGTCTCCATAATTAAGTCGTCTGTATTTGATCCATGCAAATATAGCATAACGTCCATAATGGTTGTTCAAGATGAAGCTTTGATACAAAATTACTCCCTGTAAAATTTTTTTTATAGTTCTATACATATATTTTTTGAGACATAGAACATAATTTATAAAGAATAAACATTAACCATGTTATACCTTCATGTTCTTCTTATCGACTGCGAGATCTTGACTTGGAAACTGATCGACCAGTTAATGCAGACCTTGAACGGGAACGAGAAGGAGATCTTGAACCTGAACGAGAACGACGGCTACGGCTGTATGATCGTGAACGAGACCGAGAAGGAGTGTATGACCTTTTTACATAATACAAAATGATTAGCTACATAATAAACAATTATATTAAGGTATAATTCAGTTCCCCAAAGTATTAATTAATATACTTAGTATTCTAAATATATTAAGAAGAATATAGGATAAACATTTTATAACCAGAAAAAAGTGAAAATAAAAAGTTATGATTTCATTAATAGTTTAAATATTAAATAACTAAACTTCTAAATTTTGGTAAGTTAAATTCAGTCTTCAAGTATTTTAGGAAATAATTGTTTATTTTAATAAATTAAGATTAAAAATAAGTTTAAAAGTAAATATTAATGTATTAATGCTAGTTTTATAAAATTATGATTCAATATCAGAATAACCATCAATAATTGGTGATTTGTAAAATTTTTTTGTGTGCTGTATTCAATATTAATTAACAGAAAAGTATGTAAAAATAAAACTCTACCAATAATTTGATTTATTATATTTTAGTTGTACAGAACATTAAATATTATATTATATAAAATTCAAATATTAGAAATAACTTTTAGGTACTATACAAACATAATACATCTTTTGCACAAGTAATAAATTAAAATTATGCTCTACGGTTTCAAAACAATAAGCATATTAATCAATAGAACGGTTCATGTATAATTTAATAATTTATCACTAAAATCATAATTAGTGATTCTAAATTTAATTTACTACCAGATTTACTACTAGAGATAAAAATAAATATTTAACTGTAAGGTAATATACATACTTTTTGAAACACTATGGTATATTGTAATAAAATGTATGAAAATAATCTTGGTAAAGTTGCATTTGTCTGTTTAAGAATATTAAAATTGGATACAACGACAACAACAATAAATTAATAATAAATATGTTTAAGATATTTAATAATATATATATATATATATCAAGTAAATTTATTTAGTTAATGATTTTTTAAAAACATTATTGCTCAAATTAATCAATAATTGAGTGTTATTTATATTACAAAGATTAAAATGTAGACATTTATAAATTAACAAGATAGAATTATTAACATACTTCTGAAAACTACCACATAACTCATAAATATTCATTATAAATTTAATTTACCGAAGACACATTTGGTTGATGTTTTTTTTAGAAAATAAAATGTATTCATAAAGCAAAATTTATAAGTTATACCTATTTATCTATTCAACTAATAGGTATTAAGAGGACACCACACCCGCTTGTTGTCTCAGTCTTACAAAAAATCTATAATAATATATAACATTTTATTATCACAATAATACATTTTACTCTGTTAATTAAATAAATAGAGTGAATTGACCTAATACAAAATTTAAAGTTAAGATTATTATCTAGAGCATGTTATTGATATTTTAATTTTAATGTTTACAATATAATTTAGTTTTCAAATGCTCATAATTTGCTAATTAAAATATCAATAAAAGCTTCCCAGTTGCCGTAATCTTACATTTTTTTTAATATTAAGTCAATTCACAATTTAAAGAAAACGGGAAAGTAAAATAGATTATCGTGAACATGAAATTTGTTATGTTGTAGGACGGAGGACACACATGTGGGTGTGGCATCCTTTTAATATTTAAATAATATTACTCCTTCTAAACATGTAATTTAAGTAAATAGTTGGTGATACCTAAAATATTTGTAATTTTATATTTAATATAAAAATAAAATAAATATTTTTTTTTAATTACTAGTAGTATTGTTTTGTAAAAGTTGTTAATTGTTTAATAATATTATTAAGCACACTTAGCATATATTCTTTTAAAATTTAAAATAAAAATTCATTGATTAATATTGAATATATTAAATGTATTTATATGAGATTAATATTAGAAGTATTGTACTTTATGTTTTTATTAATTTAAGGGATTTTAAAAATGAGTTTTTAACTAAACAAAATAATTATAATATTTAGCCCATTGATCAATATAATCCAACCTGCTCTTGTGATTTAATTGACTCACATAAAAAAACGAAGTTCAACATTCTCCTAAAATGACATTGTGGTAATGCTATGTAGACAGCCAGTGGCGTTATGTAGATCTAATTTATAACTCTTTCTGTCTCTGAATGTCTGTGTACGTTCACCGATAGCTAATTAGAGCATCAGAATAAAAATCATTAGGTTGGTTGGGCTCGATGGGGTTCTAGTGTAGCTGAGTACATCGATAAACGCAGACAGACAGATAGTTGCGCCGTAGTCCGACGACTAACACACATTGCTCGTAGTAGAAGATCAAAATATATTATTTTGGTTGAGAGCTCTACGACGATCGACACTACGAGAAGAGACGCTCTCAGCCGAACATCCTACAAAAATGGCCAATTATAGTCATTTTTACAATTCCATTATTTAAATGGTTGTGACAATAATCTACATTAAATAATTTATTTTAATGTTCATAAACAGTTGAAGACTTCACCACAAAAAAATTAAATAGGTGAAGCCATATTATATAAAATAATTTGAATAAAAAATAAATTTACCTGCGTCGCCCTCCTTTAAAACGTCTACAGTCACGAGCATAATGTCCTCTATCACCACATTCATAACATTTGTCTTCAGGATGAAATGGACGTCCTCGACGAGGTGGGCCTCCCCTATAAGCACCTTTTCGTGACCCAGCATTAGACAATTCAACTCGCACTCGTCTACCACAAATGCTCCTAAAATAAGTTAATTATTATAATAATAGTAATAATAATAAAAAGAGTAGTTGATAACTTCTACATTTGTTAATTTTTTAATTACCTTCCATCTAAACCTCTAACTGCATCTTCTGCATCTCTTGGGTCTTCAAATTCAACAAAAGCAAAACCTGGAGGATTACGGGCAACCCATACGTTGCGAATTGAACCGTAATATGAAAAAGCATCTTCTAAATCTTGTTTGGATGCAGATGATCCTAGATCACCAACATATATTTTGCAATCTGGGTTGCCAGAATCCCTGTATCTTGATGACGATGACATATTTTAAATAATATCTGTAACATAAGACATAATTCATTAAAAAAATTATAACTTGAGATAGTAAAACTGCACAAGTCAATTAATACATTGAAATATTATGCAAATATAAGTTAAAAATTTGAATGAAGGAATTACAAGGATATTTGAACCAAAAAGATAAGGAAAAAATGAAAAGTAGAAGAACTGTACGGGGAAAAAATATTGTTATAGATTATAATCCATAGGAGTAGTAGGATGAGCTGAATCGTCCATGTATGGAGGTTAGAAGTTCCCGTTGACTTAGCCTTAAGATAGAAACCAAACATAAAGTACCCTAGGTGACTAGATAATATGGCCAGCATTATCATTGTAAAGAGTAGAAAATGGAGAACAATTAGTGAATGAGAAGGAGATAAGGAGGCAGCTGGTAATCAAGCAATGGACCTAAATGGCCCATTTCAAAGCCATGAAAAAACTCAACATTTTACATACCTAATAAGCCTACAACTTTGGATAAAACTGTAACATAATTATTAGTTTTAGGTATCTACCTATATTAAATTACATAATTCCATAAAAATTAACTTTATGTTGACTCAATGATGGTTTAGTTTCAGTGGAAGATAATTCTATACATACTTAAATATTTTAAGTAGTTTGGAAATTAAATTATAAAAAAAAAAAACAACTGGTAGTAATTACTGGTAGATATTATCAAACTTTTATTCAGTAGATGATTAGACACCTCATTATAGGATTACTGGTACTATTATTGCTTAACACTGGTTCTACTATCCTAATTCAGATAATAAAATGTCTACTTCAAACTAACAATAAATATATGATATATATATATATATACATAACAAAAATACTGATTAATAATGAACTTTATAATATTATAGTTATCAAAATGTTTCGATTTATTTACTCTTTACATTAAGTAAAATATTATCTTTTTTCTTATCTACATTTTACTTATGTATGTGTAGGTACATAATAAAAATGAGACATTGGAAAACAGTACATGTTGTAAAAACAGAATCTAACAATGTTAGCATAAGACAAAATAGATGATAAATTTGGATAAAATCACAGAACATTGTAGAATGTAGTATGAATCGACAACAAATATTACTTGTTTGACATCCCAGTGTTCTTATACTATTATTTATAATAATCGGCGATGAAGACTTATGAGTTCATTCCCACAATTTTTATAACATACTATAAAAGTAAAAAGTTGTATAAGTACCTAATGGGGTGGTGTACGATCAATAAAAACTTAAGGGAGTCAAAACGAACATAAAAAAAAATTAGAATTTTGTCGAGAGCTGAAAGGAACAAAATAGTGATCTGTCTTTAGTGTTGTCGACCGGAAGTCTGTAAATCACCAGTACAGAAAGTGTGAACGGTGATCGTCGTCCGCCGACGACTTTAGAACTAGAGAAATCTTAGCTCTCAAGTCCGGTCCCGCCACCCCAGTAAGCGACTTACCTTCTGCGATTGACCTGTTGCTGTAATGTATTAGTATTAGTTGTTGACAGGAGTCCTCAAAGGTTGTAGTTCGTTTCAGCTTTGTCGTCGAGAGGGCTGAGTTCGTCGGACTGTGTGTGCGGGTGGACAGGTAGTGTCTTGACTCTTGGAGAGTGTGTGTTATTGTGTTCTGATTTTCGGTAGGTCACTGGGCCGTGTTAACAATCAAGCACTCTGCAGTCAGCACTCGGTGAATGCTGCTGCTCCAATCTTTTTTGTTTTGTGCCTTGTGGATCGGCACTACGGTTCTGAAATCTGAATGGAAATGCCGGCCGCTGGGAGTGTTATGGTAGTCGGTTTGGTGGAGGGGGGTGCGGGCGGGGAGCCTGGGCGCCATTCTCCATTTTACAGAATATATAATGTAAAAATTATTATGTCCTGATGGCCCAGTGTGACCCCTAAGCTACATTTTTTTGCTGGTCGGTTGGCAACTTGGTGGCGTGGAGTGATAAGCACTTGTCCGAAAATGATAACAGTAATTATGCGATTGCACGATTATAAATAAATTATTATAAATTATAAATCTTTATAATCGTGTACGGTAGTTACCCTGGACCAACTAATACTTGAGGTGAATAGATGTTGCATAACAAATCGAGGGATATTTTGGTTTTTTTTTGTCCGAGTGCAGCATTATTGGGCGAGCACACGATTAAGGATATAAAGTAATCTTTAATCGTGGGCAGGCATCACTAAAAAGAATTTCAAGTTTGGAGTCACTCTCTGATGTTATAAGTCGTGATATTAACATCCTTATCATTTTTCGGACAACTGCACCCACAGATATATAAACATGCTTATATATCTGTGACTGCACCCAACTCATTTCTCAAATCCCGCTTTTTTAAAAATAAAATTGATGTATAAATGATTATTGTTTTGTTTTCTTTATTATTGTTTGTTGTTAACTGATATTGTTTGTAGCAAATGATTGACTATTTATGATTTAGTTGACTATTTATAATAACTAATTAGCTACTATTTATTTTGGTAGTAGAGAAGTATATATTTGAATTGTGTATTTCTTATTTTAATAAAACGTAACATTTTTTTTCAAACATAGATATGCCAACCTATTGTTGTGTGCGAGAACTTCATACCACATCCAAAACTATTTTTAAAGTACCACAAAATAATGATATGAAGAAAAGGTGGGGAAAAGCGTCGGGGCTTACTATTAAAAAAGTTACCATATTTGTGCTACCCATTTTGAAGACCTTGATATCATCGGTAAACGGGAGTCTGGTCAAGAGTCTAATAAGTAATAAGTATACGTCAAACTAATTTTAAATGTTAACATATTCAATATTCATCAGTCGTTAAAATTGCAATATTTTTATGATATTATCAATATTTAGATATGATTGAAAATAATTTATTTAAAAAAGGAGCTATTCCTGTTCCTAGTAAAAAAGAGTTATGCACAATCATTGGAATGTATAAAAGTTAGTTAAGTTTCAAATATAGTTATAGTAATATAATTATAAAGATAATACTACATTAGTATAAAATAGTATAAAAGTCTGACAAAGGACTATGCGGGTGACGTATACTGTAGACTACATGTTCCACTGAAAGTGCTAGAAATCACTAGGTTTTTGATAAAAACATTGGATAGTCAAAAAATTGTCATCGTCGTGCTATCTATTGCAAAATGTACCTATGTAGATTTTAGGCACTAGGCAATTTAAACTGATTTCGAAAACTGTAAGTACCTACCTATAATTTAAATTATTTGCTTGGAGCTTTATTTCAATTACATAATTACTTAAATTTTAGAATTTTAGTTTAAGAATTGCATTGCTTCTGCTTAATAATTATAATGCATTATATATATAAGTGCGTACTAAATTTATATTCAATTAATAAGAAATGTAAATTATTTGAGTACGATTTTATACCTATGAAAGCCAATGAAATATGGGTATTAAACTATTAAGTATAACTCCTTTAATATCATCCATAAAACTATCTAGTTTAATTTTTTTACACTTCATAAATATTTTCGAAGACCAGTACCTAGTACCTACAGATATTTATTTATTATTTATGTATTTATTTTCAGAATGAGATTTATTATGTGGTTTCAAGTAAATGATAAATAATTATTCAGCTTATTGCTTTTATACAAAAGAAGATATTACCATTTTATATGCAACAAAATTCTTGGCAAATCATGACGGGTCATCATGATGCAAATTTAAAATCTCAATTAATAGGACCTAAATGTTGTATAATACACGTCATATTATGCGTAAACTCGTATCTTTAACATAAAAAAATGTGTTTTAGGTCATGAATAATGATTAACAATAGGTATTGAATATTTAAAAAAAAAAATCTAAAATAATAATATATTTTTTTTTGTTTCTATATCATTGTACCGTTTACTTGCTTGGCAAGCACATGCAGATACTCGACGCTTCCACTAGTAGTTTAAATGAGTGTTTTTTCATCGGGGTGTTTTTCATAGACGGAGTTTGGTCTATTGTTTTCAATTTTCATGGTTGAATATCAATTATAATGTATAATAGTTTAAATAGTTATGCTTATCTTCTCTACAACTTGACTAGACGACTCTACACCATGTAATTAATAATGTGTGGCGCAACTGGATAACAAGGGGTCCATGTGAAAATGTCCAGACTATAATATGGTATGACTTTTGTTAAGTTTTGTTTGAAAGCGAGGGCTCCAACTTTCAAATAAAACTTAGTTATATTTATAACTCAGAAATAAATTATTTTCTCATAAGTCATAGTTAATAGTTATTATTAATTATATATATATATTCGTAAAATTAAACATAAAAATTAACTTTTTTTGTTTTCATAGCAGACAAGTCATAAATAATTTTATTTGAACCCAATTGGGCTGTCTTTTCTTTTTAAAATTCAATAGACTGATTATGTTGGAAACGGGATATTTTCCGGTATCTTATTTTAATTTTCATCATTTTATTTGTTGCACTTTGACAGTATAGATTATTTGATCACATATAAATATATATTTCTATTATATTATTTATACTAATAATTCCACTTACCAGTTACCACGTTAATCTTAATTCGAGGTCTACAACCGGTAGTGACTAAAGAAGTATCATATTTTCGTTTTTTAATTACCGGCGAAAAATATTAATTAAAGGTACCTACTAAGTATAATTATTTATTATTTATTAGGGCTGAAAAGGCCACCTACCTACTCAAAAATTTAAAATATGTATGCACTTAAGGCTTTAAGCACTTAAAAGCAGTGGTCGGGACGCTACTGTTTTTTTGTAGCACGCTAACGCTACTGCTACTCCCCCCCCAAAAGTAGCTCGCTATCGCTAAAGCTACTTTTTTTTTAAAGTAGCGCGCTATTTCTAACGCTATTTTTTAAAAGTAGCGCGCTACTTTAACGCTACTTTTTTTTTTTATAATTGCCTTTTGTGTCCGTTCCTTTATACTTATAAAACTTATTGAAAGCAGGCCACGGTAATTCGATACATCGAGTTATGTCATCATTATCCTCATATGATGACATAAATTCGGTGGCTTCGAGTTCTGTCATTTTTAATTCGATTTAATACTTAAAACTTAAAAGAATTAAGAAACACAGAAAACGCAGAAGCCGAAAACATAAATATCCTATTCCTATAACGTTTAACGAAACTATTGCCGCCGGAGTCGCGTCCGTCGGCTCGCCGGTCGCGGTTTTTCGCCCGTAATAGTGATAAATGATAATAAAATTTAAAATACTAATATACCTATACATTATTATTTATGGTTCTGTATTCACTATTCAATAATATTGTAATAACTAATAATGCTCTTATGATTATAGTCTTATCTATAATATATGATTATTGATTACTGATTAGTGCGGTCTGGGTTTAACCAGAAAAATTCAAAAATACTCTCATCTAGTCATCTTAATTAAATAAATAAACATACATCATAATAATTTTTATCATGAAATAGCCAAATAATAAATAAATTAATAGGTTAGAAGTAGCGATGAAATAATGAACATTTTCGCTACGCTAACCGTAAATTTCTAGCGCGCTATAGTGTTTCGCTACATCGTATAAATTGTAGCGACGCTATGTTAATCGCTACAGCGAAAGTAGCGTGCTACTGTAGCGTCGCTACAATTAGCGCGCTACTCCCGACCACTGCTTAAAAGTAAGTAACAGTACAGAATTACCATTACATCTTAATTAATTTGAAATACATGCCGCTATCTAGTGACATCCAAGTGCGCTAACGCATTCTACCGTGGTACCGACCGATCAGCATGTGTACTCACTTTTGAACATAAATAAGCATCAAAACGTCGCCCACAAGTCCGCAGTAGTTTATACAACAAACCAAAATGTAGTTTAACACCTACACAGCCCACCACGATATTGAGTCTTTTGATTATATAACTTGTAGATAAATAAATAAAACATTTATGTGGCTCAAAGAGCAAATGCAATCTTAAAAAGAAAATACTGTGAACAAATTAAAATTTATATATATCAAATTAAAATAATATATAATATATCTGTGGCTCAAAGAGCGCATGTACCAAAAGAAAAAACTGTAAAACATAATAAAACGGTATTGTTTTGTTTATGTGAGAATAAAAAAAAAAACCATCATACAATATACAAAAACTATTTGCGTTTTGCACTCTCACAAGTAACGAAATATGTTTAGGTATTGAAATATGCTCTTAATACATTTATTCGATGCCCTTTATTTGAAAATATTTCAAGGCTACCTATATAAATATAGATATTTATATAAAATAAAAAATTGATATAAATTGTTATTTTGAAAAAGTTAATTGAATGAAATGTGAAAAACAATTTATTTGTTCATTATCAACTTTAATTGTTATACTACGGTAAGTCGTAACAAAAATACTGGTGCGTGTGCACTACAATCTCTTGGAAAATTATCTGTGTTATCGGCCCTGATATGATCTCGCAATAGCCAACTAACTACATTTTTCCTATCGACAATTTTCCAAATATGTTTTTATTCATCCAAACTCATTCGTCACTAAATTTGTTATATCAAAAATTGCAAGATATTATGTACATCGTTTATACAATATTTTTTTCAAATATGCCTATATGTACTTAAATTTTAAATGGAATATGTATGTATAATTACAAAATATTATATGCTAAAATATGAAAATTGTCTGCCTCGTGTTATAATACTGATATGAAACATAATTACACATCACTAACATTGTTCTGTGACAGAGTGACCGTTCTAGACAAATATGAAAACTAAAAAATTTCAGCCATCTTATTTATTATTCATTATTGTA